CGATAGTCTTGACTGTAGATCTGTCTATACTATAGTATCTTGACTATAGACCAGTTTATAGTCTTGACTATAGACCAGTCTATAGTCTTGACTATAGACCAGTCTATAGTCTTGACTATAGACCAGTCTATAGTCTTGACTATAGACCAGTCTATAGTCTTGACTATAGACCAGTCTATAGTCTTGACTATAGACCAGTCTATAGTCTTGACTATAGACCAGTCTATAGTCTTGACTATAGACCAATCTATATTCTTGACTATAGTTTTGACTATAGACCAGTCGATAGTCTTGACTATAGATCTGTCTATAGTCTTGACTATAGATCAGTCTATTGTGTTGACTATAGATCTGTCTATAGTCTTGACTATAGACCAGTCTATAGTCTTGACTACAGACCAGTCTATAGTCTTGACTATAGAGCAGTCTCCAGACTTGACAATAGACCAGTTTATAGACTTGACAGATTATAGTTTTGATTATAGACCAGGCTATACTTTTGACTAAAGACCAGTCTATAGTCTGGACTATAGAGCAGTCTATAGTCTGGACTATAGAACAGACTATATTCTGGACTATATAACAGTCTATAGTTCTGACTATAGACCTGTCTAGAGTCCTGGTTATCGACTTGTCTATAGTCTTAACTATAGTTCTATAGTTCTGACTATAGACCTGTCTAGAATCCAGATTGTAGATCAGTCTACAGTCTTGACTATAGACCAGTCTATAGTCTTGACTATAGTCTATAGTCTGTAGTCTTGACTATAGACCAGTCTATAGTCTTGACTATTGACCAGTCTATGGTGTTGACTATAGACCAGCCTATTGACCAGTCTATAGTCTTGACTATTACCAGTCTATAGTCTTGACTATAGACCAGTCTAGAGTCTTGGTTATCGACTTGTCTATAGTCTTAACTAGTCTTGACTATAGACCAGTCTATAGTCTTGACTATAGACCAGTCTATAGTCTTGACTATAGACCAGTCTATAGTCTTGACTATAGACCAGTCTATAGTCTTGACTATAGACCAGTCTATAGTCTTGACTATAGTTTTGACTATAGACCAATCGATAGTCTTGACTGTAGATCTGTTTATAGTATTGACTATAGATCAGTCTATAGTCTTGATTATAGATCTGTCTATAGTCTTGACTATAGACCAGTCTATAATCATTACTATAGACCTTGCTATAAGAGGGACTATTAATAGTTCAAACTTAGGACTTATGTGTATAGTGGAGACCAGTCTTTAGTGTTACTCCGAGCTATACCCCTAAGGACTTTGTTCACAGGAAACCACAGGATTATCCAAATTATGTGCGACTTACGTTATTCAAACATTTTGAGTTTTCATACATTTCCAATCGTCCCACCGTATACTAAATTAAAAATATTAAAAATTTCCTATTTGCCTATTTCTGTTTATCCTAAAATCTAATAACATAAAAACTGCTCAAATAGATATTTTTAATAAATTTATTTCAAATATCCAAAAAAAATCAAATCCCTAGAAACCTTAATTGTATATAAATTCGTATATTCTCTTGAATTATAAACATATTCAAAAAATTCAAATTGCAGGCACATACAAACAATTCTAATCATCATGGTCCACAAGATTATTATATTTGATTATAACTAATATTGTTTTCATTACGTAAATTACAAAAAAATCTGATTTATCTCTGGAGAGTTTTTCACTCGTTAAATAAATTTGTTTGAATAAGAATTCAAATAACACACACAACAACAAACAAACTGAAAAAAAGAAATAATTCCATCTGGGAATTTGTAACAAAATGAAAAAGAATTCAATATTTTTGGTAAGGAAAAGAGGAAAAAAACAAAAATAAAATACATTTTGTGGTAAAAATGTTCTTGTTTTTAAATTACTCGTACTAAAAATATGCTGCACTAAAATAAATATCAACAGAAATAGAAACGAGTAAAAATAAAATAAAAAAAATATTAAACATTTCAAATGACTGGAAATTTTGAAAATTCAACAAAAATATGTATGCTGTTGCAAACATACTCAAATCTGTACACACATACATACATATCTATATGAATGTACGTTTTTTTCTACATATCGTATAAAAGTATTTTCGACATGTATTAAAATGGAGATATATTTGGTATAAATACAGTTAAAACAAAAAATATCAGTAACCAAAATACAAACCCCCCTAGATAATTCTCCACCCAAAAATATGCACAGCTTATATTGAATACACTTGAGACTAGAAAACTAGTTGAGCTGACATTTTTAATTTTGAAGTACTAGAACTGTTGATTTAACATTAAAAATATAAATTTTTTTGGGTTGTGCAAAAAAAAAAAAAATTGAGAAAAATATAAGGTATAATCCTTATAAAAACTTTTTCAAATAACAATCAAAATTCGCACCTATTTTTTTGTGCACATGTGTTAACTGGGTAGAAGTGAAATGTAATGAAAAAACTATAAACCCCTTTACAAAATGAAAAACATGTATCCGGAGGTTTTGTCGGGGGTATTTGGAAAAAAAAAATACAAAATAAAAAAGAAATTTCAACCGCCTAAAGATACACATAGATTTGTATCTGTTGTTATATGCATCATTTTGTGTGGACGTGTATGAGTTTGCTGCAACATACAAACGAATGAGTACGTGTTGTATGTGTTTTGTAGAAATGTGAATATATTTCACATTTATTTTCATGTGACACTTACCAACAAGACCAACAATAATAACAAGATAGTATTCCACATTTATTTGCATATAAACAAAAAGGATGGACACACCTTAAAAAGGATACGAAATGCTAACACATGAACCATCACATTCACTATATTCCCTAAGGAAGGTCTACAGGTATGTCAACATAAATTCAAATTGAACTAGTTTGTCACATGACACTTTGTCATTTGCAAGTTTGTCGTGTTAAAAACTAACTGGAACTTTTTGCCTACACCCTTTTTTGCAATGCACTTGCATTTATATCTGTAAATACTTTTATTCGTTTTGTGTTTAGTTTATGTCTACGTTGAGCATTCACAAAACAACACCCTCAAATTCAGACTTAAAAATACATTTTTGGAGATTTTAGTATAAGAGATGTTGTATTTGGTATCTACCAGTCATTGGCTTTATACTAAAATTCACATTTTATAGTTTTTATTTGCTTTATGTTTCAGTTCAATTAAATGGTAAATTGATATTAGTTGTCAGTTAAAATCTGTATTTTTTAAGAGATGTTTTTAGGCAAACAGTTTTTAATTGGTTAAATATTAGTAGGGAGTTAAAAATTGAAACATCCTGGACAATTAGTTCATTAAATTTCTTTTTGGCATTAGGCAAAATATATTTATTGCTTAATTGGATTCAGATCATAAATATTGCAGAAAATTCTGAAAAATGTATTTTCTCGTTCCCAAATTGATTTTGAAATAGAACTGAACTAGAACTGAACTAGAAATGAACTAGAACTGAACTAGAACTGAACTAGAACTGAACTAGAACTGAACTAGAACTGAACTAGAACTGAACTAGAACTGAACTAGAACTGAACTAGAACTGAACTAGAACTGAACTAGAACTGAACTAGAACTGAACTAGAACTGAACTAGAACTGAACTAGAACTGAACTAGAACTGAACTAGAACTGAACTAGAACTGAACTAGAACTGAACTAGAACTGAACTAGAACTGAACTAGAACTGAACTAGAACTGAACTAGAACTGAACTAGAACTGAACTAGAACTGAACTAGAACTGAACTAGAACTGAACTAGAACTGAACTAGAACTGAACTAGAACTGAATTAGAACTGAACTAGAATTGAACTAGAACTGAACTAGAACTGAACTAGAACTGAACTAGAACTGAACTAGAACTGAACTAGAACTGAACTAGAACTGAACTAGAACTGAACTAGAACTGAACTAGAACTGAACTAGAACTGAACTAGAACTGAATTAGAACTGAACTAGAATTGAACTAGAACTGAACTAGAACTGAACTAGAACTGAACTAGAACTGAACTAGAACTGAACTAGAACTGAACTAGAACGGAACTAGAACTGAACTAGAACTGAACTAGAACTGAACTAGAACTGAACTAGAACTGAACTAGAACTGAACTAGAACTGAACTAGAACTGAACTAGAACTGAACTAGAACTGAACTAGAACTGAACTAAACTGAAAACTGAACTAAACTGAACTAGAACTGAACTAGAACTGAACTAAACTGAACTAGAACTGAACTAGAACTGAACAGAGAACTGAACTAGAACTGAACTAGAACTGAACTAGAACTGAACTAGAACTGAACTAGAACTGAACTAGAACTGAACTAGAACTGAACTAGAACTGAACTGAACTAGAACTGAACTAGAACTGAACTAGAACTGAACTAGAACTGAACTAGAACTGAACTAGAACTGAACTAGAACTGAACTAGAACTGAACTAGAACTGAACTAGAACTGAACTAGAACTGAACTAGAACTGACAGAACTGAAACTAGAACTGACTAGAACTGAACTAGAACTGAACTAGAACTGAACTAGAACTGAACTGAACTAGAAC